AATTTGACTACAATACATTTATAAAAAGGAGGTGCAGCCTAGAGGGAAGTCGAAAGCAAAAGTGGACGAGGACGGAAGGAAGGAAGGGGAGGGGATGTAAATGTAGAAGCAAGACACGAGAGAGGGATGCTGTTGTGAAGTCTTTCCTCTATAAAAATAGTAATAAATATAATATCAAGAATAATAACATGATATCCACAATAATAATAACATAAAAGTAATAAAAATAATACAATGATAATAAAGACCATTAACAACAACAACAACAACAACAACAAAAACATGAGCAAGAGTAAAGAAGAAATGCCTATTACTGAAAGCCACACGACCACATAAATGGTCTAGACTGCACAATGGCTTTCACTTTCAGAATCGTTTAATATCCTTCGGTTTCGGAGCCTTTAGGTTTAAAAAAAAGTTTGAGAGAGGGTTGGTATATCGTAGAGAGAAAAGAAACCAGAGGAAAAAAGGAACAACTTAGGAAGGAAAGAAGAAAACAGAGGTAGGAAAAGCAAATAAAGAGTTTGGTTGTCGTTGTATTTTACAGAGGAAAAGAAATGAATTATTTAAAGAGCAGAACTGGATGAAAAGGGTTTGGGTTTTTGTTGTTGTCGCTTTGTTTTTGTTTTTGTTTTTGGTAAGCGTTTTACGGCACTCGCAACTGCATAAGGTAATATGAGCGCGCGGGATACATTAAACATTTTCAGTTGGTAGGAAATTTTGAATTTTGCCCGGGTGGCGTCTGAAGCCTACTCTTATCAATTTTAGACAACAAAGGGTACTTTAACGTTTGCAACTTGCAAACGGGACCTCCGAGATTGTTCGCCCTTGTCCGAGAAGGCTAGGTGTAGATCTTTCCTACAAGAAGATCAGGGGCGTGGCTGAAAAACAGCTGTAAGAAGGAGCCAAGAAATAGCAGTAGAAAGGCTGTAGAAAGAGTTAGGAGCCCAGAGGAGGGGGCAAAGGAGGTGACGGGGTTGGGGGGAGGACAGAAAGTGGAGACGAAAGAAGACGACAGAACATTGCTAGAGAGTAGGAAAGGAGTTGAAGGGTGACAATTTTAGAGAATAATTTTTTCCGTCGCTACCCGGATTCGAACCCGGTATCTTTGAATGAGAGGCAAACACCTTAACCTCTAAACCACGAGAGCCCACTCAAAGGTTTTAAAGAAATACTATTCTTTGAAAAATAAAAGAAAATGGTACTTTAGATAATAGAATGAAAAGAATGTAATAAGAATTAAAGAAAAAAGGAACTCGAAGAATGAAGAACCAAGTAAGAAAACAGTACACCTCCTGGGGCTCCTTGTTAAAAAAAATGATACAAAAAATGATAGGTACAGAAAAATATAAAGCTGCTCTACCACGCAGATCGTTCAAAGATCAGTGATACAAATCAATTCAGGCGTGAGAGGGGAGGGGGTAGGGGGGATGTTCCCTTCGCTTCTTGAACAAATTTGCTTTTTGTGTGTGTGTCAATGGGATTTTGACAGCTTGTAGAAAGATCGAACAGGGCGTATAACAAAGAGCGCGACAAGTGAACCAGGCAGCGGAATTGACATACCCAACGGTAAAACGCCATAGCCCGGTCAACAGAACACGGATCATTGACTTTTTCTTTGTACCTATTTATGGCAGGCTACAAATAACTGCAGGTGCGGGGGGAATACACAAGTGCCTTCTAGGTTGTGGGGTTTGAGATAAGGTTGGGGGTGATGTTGTTTTTTTTCCCTTGTTGCTGTTGTTGTTGCTGCTGCTGATGCTGCTGTTATTGTTGTTTTCGTCGTTGTTTCTTGTCGTTGCCATTGGTCTTTGTCTTCATGGATGACCATGTAGTTCATCGATATCTTTGGGTACTTCCGTGTCTCAGTCGACGTCCTAAAAGAGCAGCTGACAACAAGTGAATGCCCTTGTCTGTAGGTTCTGTATAGGTTTAACGCCACTTTGAGTTTAAACGAGATGCAGAATCTGTGGATTTAACGTCCGTCTCCGATGAGACCAATCTAAATGGGCAGGTAGCCTTAAAAACTCCCCAATGCAAACATCCAGATCACTCCTCAAGAGATTAATATAACAATAGATTGAATTTATATTACGCTCTATCCCATACGAGTATACGGGTAAGTTCTAGGCCCTTTGCATCGATGGCTTGATCACTCAGCGTAATTCTTCATTCACACAAGAAAAAACGTTTCACATTAGCAAGAAACCGAGCTCCCCCCACAGAAGGAATAATTTTCTCAGCCATACATTAAGTATATGTACGCAAGGACAACAGTGAAAACAAGATAATATACTTTCACACTACAACTAAGACTTAAACGAATGAATCGTAAGCAATCACTTTAACGTATTAAGATTCCTGGTTTCTCTGAGGTCCTGTGGCAATATTTCTAATTTTAGGGCCAAAAACTGCAACAACTGCTGACACTAAAAGATCTTACTGAAATTTCATCCAGGGGCTCTGAATTTTGTTGCGTCAGTGGATGGCTGTAACTGACGGGATGGATCATAAGGAGACAAACGCTTAGAAAGATTATGATGATGGAGCAATATTGTTAAGACATTTACAGCAGATGGTAGAAACTTTATATAAGATCTTTTTTCACCTTGAAGCCAGTGAAGAACGTTAAGCGTTTTTTATGCAGGATCTTTCTTCTTTTTCTGATTAAATTCAGGGTGATCCGCCCCCAGGCCAATTCGACACTAACTAAGGTAACGGTGCATCCCTAATAATGACTCAAAATTCTATGGTAAAAGTAAACTTGAGGCATCCATTTAGAACTTACTCGACCCTCTTTGTGAGGTCACATTTGGGTCGCCATATTGTCAAAAGTGAAAGACACTTTTAGCTTGTTGGAATGTTGGATGGAAATTTAATTTTACCGACGGGTACATGAATATCTTCCGCCCCTTCACCGTCACAAATTGACTGTATGTATGACGGGGCGCCGGGTGGGATATAAAGAGGGTTGGGCTTGCCGTAACCAAACATTGAAATCGTTCAGAGTATAAAGGAGGCTTAATGGCTTAAAAGACTCCCACACGCGCATATGAAAAGGCAAAGTATAGATTCAAAAGTATTTTAATCTTGTCAGTGGCAATACCACGTTTTAAACCAAGGAAATGGACTCACATATTCTGTTCTACGTTTTCTAATTTGAGCAAATCTGCCGATGACTTTTTGTTTGAGCGGTATGAACCATTCATGATTGAAATATCAATCTTGCTTTCCATCCACAACAGATGCCAAAATTCCGCTGTTTGATACGACCCCAGTCTCTTGACAGTGAGCTAAGCATAACGAAGTAAAAAACGAAAGCGAATTTCCAACAGGTAGTCTACACGAAACATTGCTGCATTGAAGAACAAATATTAGATTCCACTCCCTGACGCAATACAAAGGTGCTGCTTGCTTTGTTGTTTGTCCGATCTCCACACTCGGAATACAAATCTACACAGTGTGCGGGACCTCACTAACTATTGTCCTGCTCAAAACTTCATTCAAGTGTACACACATCATCATCACCATAGTAACACGGCTTAATAAAACAAAACACAGAGAGCCGAGGGAAAAAAGGAATGGAAAAGGGGGGGGGGGTGCTCAGTCTACGCTGTGGTCTGGAACTGCGAGAGCGTGCAAACTAGGAGTCAAGAGTCGACCAACGATGCATAGTCACTTTGCACTATAACGAGTCTAATAGAACTATCAATTTCTTTGTCTCGGCCTTGGGCCACGCTAGGTTAACACCCCAATTATAAAATTCAGTCTGTGGGAACTTAAATCCCTGGACTTAGGGACAAACCAGTAAAATGTCACCCCGAAGAGAGGAGCGCCTGACGGGGTGGAGCTATAGTCTTAGTTACTTGTAGCAAATACCCGGACCAATGATAATTCTTGTCCAGTAGTTATGCCTCAGAAGTTTTGTTTGGGGTGTTCGTGGAAATTCGCTTTTTAATCTGAAAAAGCTGATATTATGTTTTGTCCCTTTACGATTAGGAGAGAAATGTTTTGTTTTGATTTTAGTCAGAGAAGCACTTTTTTTTTAAAAGAAAAACCAGGTGGGACTCCCACAAGACACTCCTGTATGTGCGACACAGTGGTGAACCAGGCGCCTTCAAATTAATTAAGTCAAAGATTTCCTTCTTTTTCCACCATCGGGCATGTTTTATTGATTTTCTTTTTTGTTTTTGTTGTTTGTCTATTTGTTTTCGCTGTTGTTGTTGTTGCCTTTTTTTAAGGTTCAACTTTTTATGTTCTTTTAAAAACAAATGTATGTGTATATATTACTTTTTTTTTTTTTAAAGGTTGAGAAAAGGCAGAGTTAACTGTAAATTTACCGTTTCCAAGGATACTAAATTTTTTAAGGTCAACTAACTTTGGCGACCATTTATCCATTTATTTGCTGTGTGTACCACTGACACGAGGTGACCCC